TCAAGCTCAACTGTATGGCAAAACACACCACTGGAACAGTCTGGCGCGTATGTCTTCAATGATCCAGTGTGCATACTGAATCCAGAAGCACACAGCTTACACACAAGCAACACTGTACCTGCCCATGGCAAATTTAACGCCATTACCAGTATCTTTTTATCACCTTCAAAGTTTTCTGCACATAGATAGACAGTCAATGTCCATTGCAATCTTTTATGAAACAGTTTTCACTGTAGATGTGTGTTAAGCTGTAGCCATTCGTCAAAACAATTACCTGTAGGTATCCCTAGGTGTGATCAATTGTAAAAACCTAGAGTCATGACTCCACGTATGCCTTATAGCCAGTTCAATTAAACATGCTATTGGATGAATTGTCTGGGAAGAATATATCATTGTTCGACATGACGGCTGCTTCATAATCATATAAGCCATGAGTCATAATTATATCCAACCAGTCAACATGGGCAAGTGTTTTCAGTTGATGACAATTTTTTGAAAAAGGTGACATCCAACTTACAACACAATACGATAGTACATGTACTTTTCTTTCTTTTTCAGAAAACGTCTATGCAAAATGTTTTGAACACACTAGGATCAAAGACGAGCAAATTTTTGCCATACTGACAAGCGCACACTCACAATTCTTCAATAGCACGTACAGGGTGTGGACTAAAGGTCTGTGGGCCGTGTATCTGAGATGTATTGCCTCATACAATATTAATAATAATATTTTTCTCGTTATTTTCACTGCCAGCTTGCACATCTATGAGCAAAAACACGCTTCCGAGACAGCTCAAAATGTCATGCAAAACATCTATCTCAAAAAATGTTCTACTTCTTTCTATACACCGATTTTCATATGTGACAACAAGTAATATAAGAAGGGGTCTTTTGACATGGCACCTTAGTTCATGTGAAAATGTCATGGCTGCCATAACAAACATATAGAACAATTACTAACATATATACATACATTTCTTTCCTATGTACCAATACTTGTTTAACAGGATGTATATATGATGTGCTTTTAAAGATTGCCTCTATTGTCTTTTAAATGCTGATGCAGCACATTTTCTGGGTCCTTGTTTAGGCTGGCTGTATTGTGTAAAGTACATAATAGCTCTCTGAGAAAAATAGCCAACTTTTTTCCATACCACTTTTTTTTTATCCTGGGGGATAGGCTATCATGTCACACATGTCTGTAACGTTGTAAAACACTTTCACATTAGAATAAAGTACTACAAATCAAATTTTTCCTACAGTTTTGCAGGAAAAAAAGGAATGCAACAAATTATAGTGCATATATTGTATTTGTAAGTCCTATATTATGCGTATTGAATGAGAAGTTTATGTTTTCAGTGCCTGAATAGATATACTAGTATACAGCAATAAAATGTGACAGTTCTCAGTCAATTCTTGGCATGAAATTTTCTAGGATATAATTGCATGGTGAAAAAGCCATATTTGAAGTTATTTAGCAACCAAGCCAACTTGCTGTATAACTGTCACCCTTAATATGAGTGGGCTCCGCCTCAAATTTAACTGGACACTGATCTATGTTATTGTTCTACTCTACTAAATGGACTTCCGTGGTCCATGACAAATTAGGGGGAGGTGTGCATTAAAGTGGTGGCTTTTAATTTCATTTTAGAACGCTGGAGAGAGATTTATATATTAGGGCCGCAAGCCTGTGCACTTCTCAGGCCTAGTCCACACCATTACCAAGAGATTTATGTGGGCCATTACAACACTGAACCTTGTTTCTCATCACGGAGGCATTAACCTAGGATATTTTGCAATGGTCAAAGAGTAAAATGACAAACTTGGGTGAATTTGACTGTCTTCTCATTGAAAGGGGCCTGCATGCCCTTTTCGTAAAGTGTAATCAGGCATTTTTAGTGTTCGTAATCCGTAGGCAGCCTCCCAAAAAATCAACGTAATTCGTAATAATGCATTAGTCGCAAAGCGTAAAGTCGTCATCAGCTCTGAGACTTGAACGTAATCGGTGGTGAAAATTTTGCGTAATTCGTAATCACTACCCCCCCCCCCCATGCAGGCCCTCATTGAATTCTTGAAACTTGTATTTGCTGATAAAATACAATGTATGTGGAAATCACATGGAATAGAAATAATGCCCTCTAAATTTGCTTGAAACTCCCAAACTGTCAAATTTTAAAAATGTGAAGAATCTCAGTAATTTGTAAGCCCACATTGCTGCATGTTATGATGCATACAGCAATGCAGATAAAATTACCTGTAATTAATTCATACCAGCAACAGTTTCGTTTACTATCTCTCTGGCAGCATATGCCAAGCTCGTTATATCAAACCTGTTTCTAATTCTGGGATTAATCGATTGAAAGAGGATTAATTGGTAAATGTCAAGCAGCAATAAGTTGCCATGAAATTGGAAGGTAGAAATTCAGGTGTATCTATAGAATACATGTCGTAAAATTATTAACAATGATCAAAAAACAAATTTTTGACTGGCTGGGGAAAATGAAACAAAGACCATTGTATATAATTTTCATCTGTATAAAACTGTTTTAAAAAACAGTTACTCAAGCAACTGGATATGATTTTAGAAACGGTCACTCATTTCAGGTAGCATCCACTACCTTTCATCAATGTAGGTTTATAAGCATGAACTATTGATTGATATTTGGAAATAAGTGTAGACATTTTTTTAAGACCGAAAGGAAACAAAAGCTAGACAAATCAGGGCAAGGAAAACTGTTTTTGTTTTGTCTATAAGAAAATCCTTCTTAACTGACGTCACACCTGTGCATAGGAAAAATTCAAAATGGCAGAGAATCAATACATGGATGTCACGAAGTATGTGCAGCCGATTTATATTCCCCTGTTGTTTATGCACTTTTAGCCCGCTCTCGACACATATGGTGACATATACAGGTATGTATAAAAATGAGCCTTTTGAACATTTGTGTGGACCAAATTACAGGGACACTAAGCCATGTAAAAAGGTTGTTAGAACCTGCCCTTTTCTACTGACAGTTCCTATTCAGCGTGGCAATGCAGTAGACTCTTGTGGTAAATGTCAACTACAATCTAGAATATTGGTTGAAATCCTATTTCTTCATAAGCTAAATACATTTGCACTTTAGATATCATGTTTTTACCAAGTTGAAATCAAGACCAGTATTTTTTTAAAAGTAAATTGTGCCACATCATCATTTTTTCCTCTAGAAGAAGAAAAAAGCCTATGTTAATTTCTTATTGAAGAAGAAATATCAATATTATTAATGAATTTTATCTTTTCCGTATACACTTTACTGTACATACTAAAAAAAAGTTAAATTTGGGTTGGCCGTAAATTGCAGAAATCTTTAATTCACCTTTAAGAAGTAGATTTACTTTTTAAAAAGCTTTCAAAGTAGTAAAGAAATTAGTCAATTAAGTGATGAGAAACAAGTCATTATGGCACGGCCCAGCACCTTAAAGCTGCATGGCAGTGTTATTAGCAAGGAGCATCTTGCCAGCAACCTCTAATTTTGCCGCTTTCCTCGGAGGACACAGATACTGTACTCCCCATGGACACAGCTCGCTGGGCTGCATATAATCAAGGTAAAACTGAAGTGATATGGGTCTGGACCTTGAGGAAGCGTATGACGAGAGATGACCTAAATAAAAGCTTTTAAACCCCGCTCGATGCTCCACACACACGTATTGCATTCATAAACATCATGTCTGTCAACGTGGCTCGCCATATTGCAAATTTTTGAGATGGCAGGAAATACCATACAGGCATGGAAATCCTTGTGCTGGAGGGGAAAATCGTACTCTAGCTGTCAGCGCTAACTCAAATTGGTTTTGCCACTGGCATTATAAGAAAACGATTTTGGAAGGGAAACAGTTTTGCCAGTTGGTCTTCGTGGATATTAAAAATATGTTTTTTCAAAAGGAAAACATGGCGGTGCCAGGTAAAATGAAAATGAAACTGCAGAATCCATATTAAATGATTTCAACATAAAACTTTCAGAATTTTAATCTAAAATTGGACAAATTAAGACTACTATTTGATAAGGGTTAGCTGATAATGTTTTGTATGAGTACTTAAAGTGAGACAAGCAATTTTGCAAGTACAAGTACCAGGGTGACTTGCATTTTCAGATTTTGGCACAAGCAAATTGGAATATTTCATAGCCTTGCCCTACATACGACACTATGAGTCTGAGTCACTGATAATGTTTTGTGACCTAAGAAAATTAGATGTTGATACCATATTCTAGGTGCAACACTCTTTTTCAAAACCAAAATAATATCAGGGCTCAAAATACTTTCAATTCCTAAGAATGCTAATGAGATTGAAACCTTGGCAGGTTGCAAAAAACAAGTGCCAAGAATCAAGAGCCACGAAATGCCAAAAATAATTGTGTAAGTTAATGACATTGCACCAGTGGCTTAAACAACAAAATCTATGGCGAAAAAGTGATTAAGTGTAATTTCTTGTGTTGGATATTGCAGTTCAAACTTCTTTCATAATGACTTCTACCAACACAGATTAACTTCCAAGATAACAAATTTTCTAATTGTTGTTTTTCTATGTCATTTCATGTCCAGGTATGTGTTAGGTGTGCACGCTATCAGCATACTTGCTGCCAAGTGCACACTTTGTATTGTCATGTTACAATTCTGAATAAATAGATAAATTTTCTAACACCAGACATGGCAGACCTGACAGCCTATCCCCCAGATAACTGCACTAACACAGCACGTCGGCAGAATGTACTGTGGCTGCGCAGAACCCTGTATTTTCACGGTTTTCATATGGATATTTAGTCAACGTTGCATTAGAATTTTGTCTGTTGCAGAAGATATCTTTACCAACATAACATTTGGAAACTACAGACGAGATATTTTCCTTATATGCGCGAATACAACCTTGTATGAGACCTTCCGAACTGAAGTGCTATGTACAATACATTACGGGTTTTGCGCAGGTGCAGTGCGTTCTGCCGACGTGCTCACTAACACTAGTAACAGTCTCCATCCTGATGACCGTGTGTACATGTATTATCGTTACCTTGTGTGTGTGTACGACTCAACCATCGCCAGCCGGTGGGGTGACCCACCCGTACTTCTCGTGAGTCTTGACCACGTTGCGAAACGAGGCTTCCGCGTGCGACCGGGTGTAGGTGTCCTTCTTCTTGGTCTTGCGGTTGATGCGCCCCTTTCCCTTGACCAGACTGGCACTGAATTGTAGGATGATCGCCTCCACCGTGTATGCGCTGGACCACCCCTTGGGGGTGAGCAGTTCCATGCAGATGGCCCCGCCGTCCATCACGTACCCGTTTTCGATTTTTGGCGTGAGCACGCGCATGAACGGAGGGGAGAAGGGGAAGTTTTCGGGAAACGTCAGGTTGAGAAGTACAAACTCGGTCCCCATCTCCTGCATGTCCTGGTAGAACTCCGAGTCGGGGTCTACCTTGTACAGTTTCACGTTCCACTCGTACAGGTTGTCTTCAACTAGATCAACCTCAAACACGCCGTCCTTGTGCTTTCGGACCTCTTGAAGCTCGCGCATTAGCCGACGACTGCGAACCTGGGAGAATACACAGTTTCTTTTAAAATCCTGGTCCTTTAAATTTGACGATAGATCAAATTTAGACAGCAGTTAACATGATACTGTGAAAATTGCAAATATAGATAGAATTCAAATAAATTTATTGGACATAGATACAAATACCATGCTGCAGAAGCTTAATCAAACCATTAAAATGACTCTTTTTTTTCCCTTTGGATTGTTTCATTCAAAGGTTTCTCAAATCAGAAAACTTCATCCCAAAATTTTTTACTTCAACGATGACAGATGGAAAAACCATTGAAAAAGAAGAAGATACCAGTATTTACGATTCATTCAAAGGTTTCTTAAAAATTCATCCAAAAAAGATGATTGGGTACAGGTGAAAAGAAATGGAAAAAGAAGATATTTACCTGTAGCGCGTGCTCTCTTGTTGGCATCTTCACGTTGTCGAGCGGAACTCTCCCCGTGCTCGCCCGTCTGTTGGCGTTGTAGTCTGCACTGGTGCCCCGGTCCAAGCTCTTCGCCCTCATGTTCTTGTTTGGTCCCACCGCCACGTTAATCGCGTTAGCGTTGACGTTACCGTTCTCCGCGTCTGCTTGCTCCAGGTTGCCGGGGAGGAACCTGCTGTTGTTGTTGCCGTTAGCATCTCTGCTGACAGGTGCTACTACCGGTACCCCTCCTCCTCCTCCTCCTCCTCCTGCCACATCCTTACTACCTGCACCTGTGCCGCTCCCCATTGCACAGTCTACCGAGGCCGACAGACGAATGTTCTTGTTTTTGTCCCGCCCTCTCTCGCCGTGGTGATTCTTCGAGCGGAGCAGTCTTCTCAAAATCGCGGCCATAGTACCGCCCGAGGTGTTGTCTGACTGCTGTGTCCGCCCGGCCGGCGCAACAGTTCGCTCAAGCAGCAAGATGAGGAAAGATTCCCCCGCAAGGATGCAAAAATTATGGAGAAAAGAAAATACGGCTGCGTTCTCTCTCTCTTAGTCTTACGACAACCGCCCACGGATAATACGCCTCCGCCTTCTTTCTGCTACCGAAATTCACCACTCACACGCACATCCCCCACGCTACAACAAGAAGAAAATACAGAAGGCCTGCGTCAGAAAAAATCAACTCGGGCCAAACAAGAAATGATGTAAACACAACGGAGTCTGAATATGAAAATGGGAGCCGATTTTTACATCACCACAAAACCAGCAGACAACCTGGCCCCAAAAAACACCCCATATCTCGCCATACGGCACCTCTAGACCGCGCTGGTATTAATTACAGGTCCACAATTAAGTTGTGGGGTAAAATATGAGCGGAAATGCGTCTACATTCCGTGCGAAAATCGATGGATTATTACCTTCTTTCCTTCACGTCGAGGCAAATCCTCCTCAGCTCTCTGCTATCGTCTGCGGAATACACTGTGTTTTGTAGCTGCCCGCTACATTTATTCCAGTGCCTACACTATCGAGCCACATTTTGAGGAAAAAAATCCATACAAACCATGTAAATTAAGATTTTTAGTATGTCTATGAAAGCTTGGTAAATTTCTTGATATTATTATTTGTCCTGTGGATACAATCGGTAGTTTAGAATGGATTTTAAAAAGGAGACGGCACGACATTGGGTGCTGGTTGGACAACCCATGTTTTTGATGAATCCAAGATGGCGGAGAAACTGGAACAGTTGGAACAACACCTCGAACAGTTTATAGAAAATACTCGGCAAATGGGCATCATAGTCAGCGATTTTCAACCTCAGGGGCAGCCGGTACTCAACCAGAAGATGTACGTACCTGTTAAGTCGTAACCTAGAGTCCAGAATGCCTTATAAACTGGTTTAAGTGGAAGTAAATTTTGTGTTTTTTGCACGTGTGTAAAAAAAGGTGTACAAAGAAATATATGAGGAATTGTGAAAAATATAATGTGCTTTTAGAATTGTTAAATGTGATGTTTTAAGAATGTAGGGATTGTCAAAACAAACTCTAGTGACTACTCATTCATTCGTATTCACTTTAATTATTTTTCCATTGTTGTATTTTTTGTATGACATACTGGTAACATGTGGTACTTGAAGTTGACTAGTCTCTACCAGACTTTAGGAAGTGGCTGGAAAGAGTAGAAATTTTCCAATTCCCCCGGCATGTTATCTCTCTATTTGGCCAATTTCTAGTCATCCAAGCCACTTCCCAAAGCCTGGTAGAGGCTAGAAGTTGATATGTATGCACATGACATAGAGACCTTCCTTCGTCTCTATTCCTCCATTCTCTTGTCTGATGATGGTCACGTGTGCTTGTCTGTTACTTCCTCATGAGCACGTCGGCAGAACGTACTGCACCTGCGCGAAACCCGTAATGTATTGTACATAGCATTTTGACAGAATGTCTCATATAAGGTTGTATTCGCTCATATAAGGTTAGCATTTCAACAGTAGTTCCAAATGTTGTGTCGGAAAGAATATCCTCTGCAACAGGCAAAATTCTGATGCAACGTTGACCAAAAACCCAACGAAAAACGCGAAAATACGGGGTTCTGCGCAGGCGCAGTACGTTCTGCCGACGTGCTTTCCTCATGTGTATTCTCTCTTCCCATTGTACTCATCTCTTGTTCCTGTGTTCTGATTGGTCCCCAGCCATGCCATGATCACAGGCATGCAGGAGATTGACAGGTGTAAGGCACAACTGCAGGATGTACAGGTTCCTTTGGAGGTATTTGAGTGAGTAGACAAACTTCTACATACTTTTGTACACAAGTATTAGAATAGAATTTCAAATATACCAATTGTATTTTTCAAATCTTGTTTTCTTCTTCTTCTTAAGTACCCTCGAACGACCCCTGTACGGGGTATCACTGAGGGGGGAAGCGGTACACGGGTTATGGCATGGCAGCTTCTACCCTGGCCTTTCTAGAAGTTCTAGCAATCTTAGCTTGAGGCAGATCTTTTAGTTAGCTGCAAAGACAGTATCAAATTGTCCAGCAGTATCCATTTGCTAGACAGGTATACCAAATTGGGCAGCAAATGGTAACTGACTGGCTAATGGATACTGCCTGGACAATTTGATAATAGTACTTGGAGGTTACCAAAATACATGTACACTGTACATATGGCAGTATTACACAAGGTAGAAAATAGAGAATTACTTGTACTTGCATTTGTGTCCTTACTAAGTCGTGATGGTTCTGGTCTTTCCTTCACTCTAGGCTAGCTCATAACTCTTCTAACTAAAAAAAAAACTATGGCCCTGCCCCAATTCCTGCAGAAATAATGTTTAGTTCATTACAAATCGCCAAGGACATGTGTGCGTAATTAGATTTGGGATTACGTCCTAGACAAAACAGGAGACACATGAGCTTACCATAATTTGATAGAAATGTAGATATCATGGAAATGTTTGTATTGTTGAGTCATGTGGACAAATTGCTTCATATTTGTACAGCTGAAAGAGAGTTAAGGCCTAGGAAATTCCTGTTTCCCGACAGACCCTAGAAAAACCTGCAAACCCTGAATTTTTTTTTCGAGCTGATTGACCATGATCTGACACCTGAGTGATAAACATTGTACAATTGGTTTTCTAACATTGACATTGAAAATAAAAGTTTTACTTTGCTAAACTGTATAAGTTGGATCACTATAAAGATATCACCAAAGTCGAAAAAAAACCCTACTTACCGACCATAATTTTTGCAGAACTGAAACAGGAACACAACAGTTTTTTTTTAGGCCTACGTTAAAAGAAATATGTCTATTTTGCAGGTATATTGACCAAGGACGTAACCCTCAGCTGTACACCAAGGACTGTATGGAGAAGTCTCTCGCCAAAAATGAGCAAGTCAAAGGCAAGATAGATGCTTTGAAGGTGAGCCAGCCTTTGTTCCAGTCTTTCCACTTCCAAAAATTGGCTTATAAGATTAAGAACCAAGGCTTTGAAGTTGAACCTGTACATAGTAGTTCACTTTGTAAAGTTGTTTTGAGATGATATATGATGAATGGGATATATGTATCGCTGTAATTTTACTTCTGCTTTTTCATCATGACCTGCAATTTAACTTGTAAGAGCATTAATGTACAATGTATGTCTTTCATTCATCCATTATTTTGCAGAAATTTCGATCACAGCTGATGTTGGAACTGGACAAGGTCTTTCCAGAGGAAATAGCCAAGTACAAGGCAGCCAGAGAAATAGTGAAGGAAGAACACACGTGACCATGACTCACTGCCCAGGCCATCCTAATTCCATCAGTTGTTTCTCATGTTTTCTGAAATACTAGTATGTTAAAGTTAGAGGGGGAAAAGTCAAAATTCATTTTCTGAATCTGAATCATGTTTCCATGTATCGGTTTGAAAGACTGCAGTTTTGAGCTTTCAAGGCAGAAAGTAGCCCCCCCCCCCAAAATACAATTATGGAAAATATTTAAAAAAACTGAACAAAACAAAAGCCATGGCTAAGGGGTAGCTATGCTGGGAAACAGTTGATCCAATTGATGTGGCTTGATGTGTATATGTTAAAAGTGGTAGCTGTATACCAATGTACATAATGATGTCAACGATTTTGTATGTCCAAACATTTATACATATTTGGTCATTTGTTTTGAAGTTTAAGGGACTGACAGGATACAGTGCTGCTGGTTACGCTAGTGAGAAAATAACTGGCATTTTGCTGTTGAATAATCTTGTGAAGTAAACAATTGGTGCATATTGCATTTGTAATTTTCATGAGTTTTCTTGAGATTTCCAACAGTCCCCAGACAGGGGAAAGAACAACTGCCCCCTTGCAGCCTGCTTTTGTACTGCAGATGAAATCTGCATTAACAAGGCCATAGACAAACAGTCATCAATGCTACAAGCTTGTTTTTTTTTTTAAAGAAAACTGGTCAAGCAACATTGATTTGATGGCCTTTGTGTCTATACTAATATAGTGGTTGTTTCACCAACATTATTTATCATTATGTACTGAAAATAAATTTGTAACTTATGGATGAACTCTTGTATCTACTTTGTCTGTTAAACCATTCCCAATATTTCATAACTTCATTATACATGTACAATTGATTGTTATCAAAGGAACAATGGTTATCCAATTTATTTAACCACGAAAATAGTTGATTTGAATTCACTCACTCAGTCCCATACCTATGAGCCATAGGGACAGTCTGTCCACAAAAGTTTGAATGACAATCAGAATTTGATCCACAACTTTAGACCTAATGTTATATGCTTAGGTGGTAAATTTTTAATGGCTCTGCGTTTTGTTTGATGTTGCTCTATTCTGATGGCCACCATTTCCACAATATTAAGGCCATGTTGATTTGATTATATGGATGACATCCGCGCGCGCATGAATTTTCGGCCGTTTCCAAAAAAAAAAAAAGTTTTCAACCATACTGTAAATCGTACAAAACAGTTGCAAAATGAGCAAAAATATACCATGTTATTTAAAGTTACAAAAAAAATTAATAAAAACTATATCAATGTCGTAGAATGCCAAAATCAAACGAAAAAAGACGAAATTGTAAAGAATGAACTTGAAGACTAGATTATTCGCCAAACCATATTCTGTGCCATTTGCTCAACCATCATGACCACGTAGATTTCATAATGAAAAGAACTTTTTTTTTACAAAACTTTTTTTTATTCGCACGCGCGCATCAGTTTTGGGGCTCCAGGAGGATGTCATCCATATAATCAAATCAACATGGCCTAAACACACACAAAAAAAATGCGCAATCTGTGAAAGAATTTCACCCCCCCCCACCACCCCTTCTCAGAATACATAAGAAATTGGTATCATAATACATGGAATACATACATAATAAACATTACAACATGTCGTATAAATAAATGGGATATGAATGCGTCCGTGCATCATATATGCCAGGTAAGTGTGAGGTCATGTATCGACTGCTGGGGTCACGGCCATTTCTACATGTGGTCCTGCTTTTAGGCCAGACTACATTAATCTTGTGAACGCCACAGGGTATGAATTGATTTTTTTCCACTCCCCACCCCCCTAAAAAATATAGATAGCCTTTATTGTACATACATGCCTTATCTGGCTAAGTACAGGTGAACAGATGAAAAGGTACATACATGTTTGTAGTACAAACAGGACTACTGATACTATTATCTAACTACATTAGCTCTAAAACTACACTAATAAAGAGGTTTCAATTGGTTTCTTCTTTGTGATGTTAAAAATGTAATTTGACATGGGTTTGTTTAATACAGGATGATCAAAATGCATAAGAAAGATAGTATTCAATATATATTGCACCTTTAACGGCATGCATATTGCATACTTTGAAAAACAAGGCATGTTCATAACCATACAATGATGAAGCAAAAATGACAACAGATTGTACCATTCATGAAGTAATGTATGTTGCACAATGAAGAAGAGTAACATCATTTTTGTAGAAGCTTGTAAAACCGACATTTTGGTAGCTGCTCTGCTTCCTTCTTAACTCAATGCTCAGGGCAATGTGCTTTTTCCTTGTTAAAGAAAATAATTTGGCATCTCTTTTGTGTTTTTACTTGCGTTGCTGATATTTTTTCTGCACTCAAGGTCAGAGATGACGTTAGTGAGATCAATATCTTGACAGTTTTCCATAATTGGAGCTGAATCCACCGGAGGTAACCTTCCTGTCATGCCTGATTATCCTCTTAAAGCAGAAATTCTCAGAAGCAGGCTGCTCTTGTGTGAACTGATCTCAAGTCAAGCATCACTTTCAAAACAAGAATTCTGAGATGTCATACCTCCATGAAGTATTTGGAGGTGCCTCATTGATTATGGAAAAGGTTGTAATCAGCAAAGTCTGTGTTTTTCTAAACTCCAATTACAAATATTTTACATGTCCTATCCTTTGGCAATGTTTCGTATTAGTAGTAATATATTTATCATTAATCATGCAAATTTCCTCCACATATTCTGCAATATTAATTTGGTATACCTTTGTATTATATATTTATTTGGCGTTTTCGGTGAGGGGATTTATTCAATTTTACTACGTCAGGCCACGAGATATAAGCTATTATGTACATACATGTATAGATATCATTTTCAGTCAAAAAACGAAAGGTAAACTGCTATAGAGGGTAAAGTTCAAATTTACCCAAAACCATAAGACCGGTTCTTCTACCTGATGACGTCAGGGGGAATCCCGGGATGTCAGCTCCACCTATCACAGGGACAGAAAGTCACATGACCATGCATGACGTCATCAAAACAACGACTACAGTGACACCAGTTCCCCAAATCCGCGCCACAACCACACTTCCTCATCAGAGAGTGTTGAACAGTTGAACACTGCTTCCAGGGACGTCTGTGCTTGTTGGAAAAGCGCCCACAGTCCAAGATGAAGCCGCTCTGTGCCCTGTTGTTGCTCTTGACATTGGCAGCCGCTGTCTTCCAGGGCGCACAGGGAAGGAACCCAGGTCTCAAAGCCAAGGTCACCGAGTTTGGACTCACCTATGGTAGGTTCCTCATGATTTTGGCGTTTTGTTGTTTCCTCCTAGCCAGATGACATTTTCTTCTAAATGTCGATGTTTTGATGGTCTAGTTTTTGTCCTCATTTTCAAGGGGTTCAAAACATTAAGCCATTCACGTGTATTCATATATCAATAAGTCAGGGTAGTTGTGAATTTTTCGTAATCTTTGCTAGTGTTAAATTGTTAGATATATAAGATTTTCCTCCTTAGTCGGTGACCCAGTGCGATCGAACCAGTTTTCGTTTTCTAGGCAAGAAACTGGCGAAGACATGCATGTGTGTTGTTGTAGTTTCCAAGTCGCGTATCTTGATATCGACTGTAGAAATGTCATACCACAAACAATCCGAATCTAAAAACACAACATTGTCAAACCATTTTACTCCGTGTAAAGAAAGACACTGTACATTGTAGGGAACTTAAAAGGAGGAAACAAATACGCTATTGAACAAGCTGTTATGGTGTATAATCACTTCCTCTTTCTGTGTCTTTGTTCTCCATTCACACATTCAATGTTGTACGTAGCCACAACAAATATTGAATGAAGAATGAAGAACTTTATTGTACATTTTAACACATCACTGCGCTGGCACAAAAATTTTGCGTGACGTTCGGTATCAGGGTTTATTTGCCATGTTAAGCGAGGCAAAAACATTCATGAAAATGTTTATCTAATAATCACGCGAACACACTTGAAAACGGACTGAGTAACACTCAAACCACGGAAAGTCACGGTAGCGTCGTGATCCAGCCTTGGCAGTAGCCTCGTTAGCAGGCCTAGGAGGCTGTATACGGTATAGCCTATCACCAAAAGACTGATCAGAGGGATGCTTATTAATCTCCAAGCAGATCCTAGGGTTGCAAAAGACAGTATCAAATAAATTGACCAGGCGGTATCCAGCCGCCAGAGAGGGTCCAATACCTTGTCCTGGAGTGCGAATTTCTGCAGATCATTGGGTGGCGTATTGGACCCTGGATACTGCCTGGCCAATTTGATACTGTCTTTTGCCACCCTAGGATCTGCTTGGAGATTAGGTACTAGTTCGTTGTAGCCTTGTAGCATAGTGTAAATTTAAGACAGCCTCGCCGGGAGGCTTGATTTCGAGGCGTCATCATCATTTGCTTGTCACATGACCGGCTCCTGAAGCGAAACAGCGAAACTAGCTTGTATCTACACCAGGAAAACTAGCTCAGTGTGTCTACAACCATCCTTGCCGAGTCTGAATTTCGAGGCTATTGATGAGTCGCTGGCAGGCCGCCTCATCTGCCCAGCATCTGCCCGGCTTCTGACGAACACAACGGAACTCACTAGTATCAACACCAGACTTTCCCTCACGACCTGTTTACACTAAATTACACAGCAGTTTATGTAAGATAGATACTTTTACACGTCCTAGCACGCAGGTACTACGGGAAGGTTAACGTTATGTTCAACACCATCACCAAAGCTCAGGACAAATCCAAGCCATACCCCGAGGTCTGAGATTTTTTTCTGGTGGAATGTTAGCATGTGAGCTTCACGAAAAAACAAAACCAGCTTTCCTGCTTCCACAACCGTACATGTGTAATGGATTATCAGAGAGTGGAAGTTTAAGGGTGTGCTTTACGGATTTTTTTCATCGCAGTAAAAAGAAAGAAACAAACAAAAGAAACATAAAACGACTTCTCCGAATCTAGATATTTGCCACCTAGGCGTACATGTTATTTTTTTACCGATTTTCTATTTCAATTTTTATTTCTTTCATTTCAGGCACTTCTTTCACTATTCCATTCAATGCCTATAAACCTATAGCGGATAAAATTACGAAGTGAATAACAAAGAAACTCTTGTAGCCTTACATCAGCTTACATCTATTTTCCCCAGTTTGACGACAGCAAATACGTGTGTTTGAAGTACCACTTTGTCGTTAGATGTTGCTTCTAAGCAAACCTAAGTCAACACGTTACTGTTTTCCCGACCCACTCTACTTCTGGAGTTAAAAATATCAGAAACACTAACATCAACTCTGAAAGACTGTGACTGAAAGGGAACGTTATATGAAGCAATGAAGCCATTTTCTGGTGGTTCGGCGATGCGTTTAGGGTAATGGGGAAATAGAAAAAAGTCCCCTTCAATTTTCCACTGAGTGTAGCGGAACCTTTTACTTCTCGTTTTAGAGCCTTGGCTGGCAGAGGCCCAAATCCGCAATAATAATACACACCCAGATAGTCTTTGGGTTTATCTTGTCACTTAAAAGGCAATTTTCTAACCAGCAGGCACCATTTGATTCAATCACGCTCTCATCAGTGCCCTGTCCCTAATTTTGCGCGGTAGATAGCGCCCGGTTGACCGAGGCGGTGAGTCATTCTTGGCACGATGACTGAATGTACAATTTTCCCGTTGCCGTTGCACAGTGCAAGTTGGAAATATATAGATTCTAAAATAAAACAAGCATTTAAGAAATGCATGAAAGCAGGGCAGTTGATTGAATGAGTGAGGAGTGAGTGAGTGAGTGAGTGAGTGAGTGAGTGAGTGAATAAACAATGTTTTACGGACGCTTGCGACATAAGTCTAAATCCCTCCTACTATAAAATTGCAACATGATGTAATCCAACACTAGTTACCATGGTGACAGACGTTTGCTTCAGGTCGATCATTGACCTTATTTGTTTGGAGAAGAAGAAGAGGAAGAAGAAGAAGAAACAGAGTAAAAACAATGTGTTTTCCTTCTGCGAATTCGAAGGTAAACATAATTAATGTTTATACCACCAATCCAGGTATGAAGGTGTTCCTGTCCCTACTGAAGGATCGCGCCCAACAAATCAAGATTCCCGACCAGAGCGGCCGGGCGGATGTCGTCATCGGGAAGGTCAACTATGAGTTCAAGAAGTGAGTCATCTTCTGCCCGGGCAAATAATAGCAATCGTATAAGTTTTTTCCAGACAGCAGTTGTCTGTTCCCTATCTTTGACTCTGTAAAAGCAATTAGCCTTCGGGCATGATTTTGCAAATAAATGATTAATAATCAGTGGAAAATCTTGTAATCTCCAAGCAGATCTTTCCGTGGCTGCAGACATAGTATCAACTGTTGGTCGACAGTATCCAATCTATTACCCGGCAGTTATCTTTCGCCACTCAAAGTTTGGTTGGCGTAAAAAAAGATACCAGTATAAAAAAAGAAAGCCCAACAAAAACGTCTACTGAAACACGCCGAAAATAAACCGAAGCCCTAACCTATGCGAGGAGAGTATAATTCTTTTATTACCGAAGTGGCCTGTTGGTCTAGTAGAGGTATGATTCTCGCTTCGGGTGCGAGAGGTCCCGGGTTCAATTCCCGGACAGGCCCGTGTTCTTTTACTTCTTTTAAAACAAAAACGACAACAGAATTCGGAAAAGGCAGCAATAACTACGGATACACCTTTGCTATAATATCTTCATGTTGTTACTTCTATCAAAGTTTTAGGTTCAGATATTCACACGCTATTAGTTGTGCATGTTCAAAGCCTCAATTAGAAACTTAGAAGATAATTTTCGTATTACGCAAAGGCCGATTATATTTTTCCTTTATGATAAATACATCGTATATTAAAAATATTGAACAAGTAAAGGTAAATAGTTTTTAGTTTATTTGTCAATCTCTCAAAAAACTTGTTTGACCTTGGTTCAATGTCAGCATCAAGATGTCCGTTCAACATCGGCGGGACGAGCCTTCCCGTGGTGCCCCGCGAGGGCCTGCGACTCCGGGCCAATGGCGTGTCCGCTTCTCTCAACGGAAACTGGCACTACAAGGCCAAGGTCGCCTTGTAAGTACCTAGAATTATTTCCTTATAACCTCCATTCAATATGAAAATAGTGTGACGGACTCCGGAGGCTAACAGGCAGGAAACAGCACTTATGTGATATCAGTAACTAAATACATGGAATGTTTAAAAGCGCAACGATCGAAGATTGATATAGATAGAGAGATATATCTAGGCTACACTGCAAGATGGTCAACTCGATCATTTTTGCGCTAGCCTCCGTAGCAGGCTTATAGAACTGGGTGTTTGGTGGTCTTCGGCTGTTTTCTGATTAGCTCAGTTCTCAAAAAACGGCCGGCTATGTTCTCTATATGTAATCAGAAAATAGCACATAAAAGCTCCCTGAAGACTCCTCAAACCCCCAGTTTTTGGCATGCTATGAGGCTACTTTTGCGCCTCATTTTTTGTTCATGATTTTCTACTTTGTACCATCCCAGCATCCCGATTAGTGACGGAGGCACCTTGAGCCTGTCCATCAGTGGAGTGTCGCTAGATGTCGTCATTCGACTTGGTAAGATGAATTCTAGATCTCTTCGAAATTTCACGAGAGCCAGTACAACGTTTAATTTAAGTTCTATGTGTAATGTGTATATATAAATCGTTCATCCGTATAATAATAGATACATGAAAAAATTGTTAGATATTATGGTATAAAATGGAATATAGTGCTTTTGGCAACGCCTAAGGGGACTATCAACACCATTTATGGTGGTCTCCCACGTGTGTCCGAAAAGCTTACCCACCGACGGGTTAAGTTTGCGGGACATTGTTGCAGAGCCAAGCAAGAAGTAGTTTCGACCGTCCTCCTGTGGAAACCTAGGGACAGAGTGCATTTCAGAAGTTTGAATTTCACTGACTCTTTGATCAAAGACACTGGTATTGACTTTGATTGTTTAAAAAGCTATCTTTTTTTTTTCAAGAATTCTATTCAAGAAATATGAAACAAATCAAATACAAAGAGAACATGGGTAACAATAAACTACATAAAAACCAAAGACACGTTCAGTCATGGTTGACTAAAAGTAAGAACCAAGAATAACTTATGTAAAATGTGGCAAAACAAGTTAAATATGCATAACACAGCAAAAATGCTTAAAAAAAAGCTATCTTAGATAAGAGAGAAATCTGTACTTGCTTGGTCCCGACTGGACAGGCCTGTAATAGATAAGATAGATAGGGGCAGAGGCATTTTTATCATATCATATTATTTACTCCCTGCTCTGGCAGGAAAGGACGCCCAGGACCGCCCCACCATCTCTGTCGGCTCCTGCTCGGCACACGTTGGTGACGTCAGCGTCAAGTTCCACGGCGGGCAAAGGTAAGGATAATCATGTCGTAACGTTTACCTCTCAGACATCTATTACAAAATTGTTTTTTTAGCTAATTGTATAGTGTAACATTATTGACTGAAGGTTGTATAGTGTAATATTGTTGTAATAATTGATGTAATAATTGATGTTTAAAATTTACTATGTTGTTAAGATAAGTTTTCCTGAAGCATAATGTCAATGATAGCAGTTGAATGTAAATGTAAATATTAGTTGTATTTTTATGTTGTACAGGACTCCAGGAAGAATATGATGTACATATTATCACTAATGGGAGATTCCTAAATAAACAAACAAACTCTCCAAGCAGAGGTTTAGGTCTGGGCTTACTTTTAACGTGCTTTAGACGTTTTATCGGGTTTCTTTTTCGTACTAGTATCATTTGACTGTCAGAAAAAGATGATACCAGTACAAAAAAGACCCGACAAAAACTAGCTAAATCCCGCCATATATAGTCGTGTGTCTGCAAACCCTCAACTTACATCGTTTTGTTTTTCCGTCCACGCAGCTGGCTGTACAACCTCTTCAAGGGTGCGATCGAAAACACGGTCAAGAACCAGCTGAACAGTGAGGTGTGTATAGTTTCATAAAGCAGTTTCATTTCCTCATGAACAGTTACTAGTACTAGTTACAAACGTTTGGTTATACGGCACAAAATTTTGCGCGAATTCATCGTTTGTTTATTTGTTTGTTTGTTTGTCTGTTTTCTCTCAAGATCTGTAAGTCCGTGTCGAAGGCCATCAACGAAGATGTGGAGAAATCGTTCGCCCAAATCAGGGGTAAGATCACCTCATTTCTATTGTAATAATTGTATTTGCTTGTTCTTCTTAGCCTCCTTTGCAGGCGTTCCGGTGTCGGTCGGCGTTTCTTTTGGGGGAGGGGGGGGGGGTTCTGATTGCATGTAGATTAGAACTCTGGTCGCCTTCCCTAGTACACTTTCTCAGTTCTTCCTCTGTTGAACTTTGATAAAGATGCTTAAAAAATGTGTGAATATAAAAGAAAGTGTAGATATATGTTGGTTCTACCTCCAGTTCTGGAGCCAGTTGGGAAGTTTGCTGACCTTGACCTTGGGCTGCAGGAGTCTCCAAGTTTCCTGTCGAACTACATGGAACTCCCGCTGAAGGTCAGGGTTACTTCGTTAACGGTTTTTATTGTAAAATTGCACATTTTGTGTTAGCCTCGTGAACATTCTGTACGTGCTTTGAGTCTTTCACCCCCAGTTTGTTACCACAAGCCTTTCCTCTGCCAGTTTGCTTTCTGAGTATTGCCATTGTAGGCGTGCGCGAATATACCTGGAGGGACAGGCAGTACTCTGAGTCCCGTAGAGATACCAGTGAGCCTATATAGCTACGATGGTCAAGATAACGTAGGGAGATTCTGTGTAAACTTGATTAAACAGCATGGGGAAACAACAATCAGAAGCAAGCCATCGCCTGCATGTTTTGACTCCATCTCCATTGTTTAATGAAGAAGTCTAATAAAGAAATTAAGTACCAAGTGTAGTTTGACAATGCCTTTGACATATATATAGGGATCCGTGGTGCCCCGTGATAGCCGTATCACCGTGCCCGTGTCTCCCGGCCCGATCCCCGAGGTGCCCGAGACCGCCCGCATGATCTACCTGTACGGCTCCGAGTACGTGGGCAACGCCATCGCAAACATCTACCACAAGGTGAACAACTGTCCTTCGTCTAGGGATGTAAACTTTATTGATCCTAAAGAATGGCTACTGTCATGTACATGTATGCTAACTGTGGATCCTTTCAGTAAATAAGAAACTTAAATCCTAAATCCATATGCATTTATCGAGCGTACACAGCACTCTTTAGTCACAATTATAAAGAACTACGTTGTAGCGTAAAAACGAAGTCCCACTGACCCTTGGCCATGGCCTGTTGCCTTCTTCACGTTGGAACGACCAGTCATTTAGGGCACGTGACCATAGGATGACCCTTGGCTTGTAGCCTTCTTCCCGTTCGAATGACCAGTCTTTTAGGGCACGTGACCATAGGATGACCTTTGTCTTGCAACCTTCTTAACGTTCGAATGACCATCGCACGTGACCATAGCAATCCTTTTGTTAGTAAAAATGCATTTTTTTCGTAAATATGCATGGTTCCAGTAATGAAATCCTCGACAGAATGTACATGTGCATGTGCTAAATTCATGTATCTCTTTGTCTACCACAAGGCCGGACAACTCAAGCATGTTCTCAAGCCCAAGGACGTGAGTATCATTAACTCTACATGTCCTTATTTCCTTATGTACAATGGTCATCGTAACATATGACTTTGAAATGTATCAGATACTCATAATATCTAGTATCTATCTTATTCTGTAAAAGACCGTTTTTTTCTCCTTTTTGTAGATTCCCAAGGACTTGCCCTTCAAGCTGAACACTACATACCTGGCGGGTCTGGTGCCGAAGGTAAGGACAGTACTATACTTACGAGTATCACAATTCGGTATCATGATTGAACGTCCCTGAAGTCTTTGTCAAGTGGATACCAAACACGGACTAAACATAACACCCACCCTACACACACACACACACACACACACACACACATACACACACACACATTCACACATATATGTATGTATTAGATATACATAAACCTGTCATGTTTTGAGATGTTACTAGTAACTCACTAGGTTGACTAAACCGCGCTCCGGGCGGACGAAGGGGTGGGGTCTTTAACCTCCGGCCGAGAGAGCTTGTGTAACACATGTACTTCGTTATTCCGCATCCAGGTGGGTGAGTTGTACCCGGACATGGGTGTGGAGCTGGTGCTGAACACCTCCCTCCGCCACACCTCTCCGTCCGGCCCGGCCCGGCCGCGCCACCCACCCATCATTATCAAATGTTAACCCACGTACTTCGTTATTCCGTCCCCAGGTGGGTGAGTTGTACCCGGACATGGGTGTGGAGCTGGTGCTGAACACCTCCCTCCGCCACACCTCTCCGTCCGGCCCGGTCACGCCACCCACCCATGTTATCAAATGTTAACCCACGTACTTGCTTATTGCACCCCCAGGTGGGTGAGTTGTACCCGGACATGGGTGTGGAGCTGGTGTTGAACACTTCCCTGCCGCCCCACCTCTCCATCCGGCCCGGTCACGCCACCCTGACGGCGTACGGGAATGTGCACGTGTACGCAATTCCTCAGAACAAGCCTGCCGTCTATCTCTTCAGCATCAACGTGGTACGTATAGTGTTTCTTCAATCCGTGATGTAGAATACTAGCCGAGCATGGGATCCATCCCTACGCGCTATTGCATGTTATAGTGGTGCGGCGGTGACTGCCCGAACCGGCAATATCGCGTAGCCCTGGATGGATTTCAGGCTAGTAAAATAAATGACATAGTAGGTAGAAATCTTCCACCATTTTGAAATGTGTGATGAGAACGCACGTGAGTTTGCACGAAAACGACGTCGGAGATGAAAAAATAGATTCGGATAGGAATGTTTTAAAGGTTCTTAAAAGACATTGCGAGACAGAAAAAGAAGTTTTTTATTTGTTCTGTGGTCCGCACGTGAGTTTGCACGAAAACTACTTCTTTCTTAAGAAAGATCTTCAAATCCAAATGCAAAGTTGTTGTACTCATTGTTTCCCGTAGACCATGGATCTGGGTGGCGAAGTGAAGCTGATAGGACAACTTCTGTATGGTAACGTCTCCATGGATCCTAACAAGTGAGTACTAGTACATCATTTTTTATTCCATAGATTTATACATGCTTATAATCTGTTCCCTCTCATTGTATTGTACCGTATAGTAGCTTTGTCTCTGTAAAAGCAATTAGTCTCGGGCATGATTTTGCAAATAAAGACTATACATTTGTATAACATGAAGTTACACATCTAGTGTTGATGACAGAACATTCACTAGTTCGCTTTCATAAAAGATACAGCCTGATCATCTATCATTGTAAACATGGTGTCAGCGGTGGGATTACAACCATGCACGCTTGCAACGACCAGTATTGAGAAGCATTGCTCTCAAGTGACTATACGTTCTTCATTATTTCTCATCATGAGGTTTAACATTTGACGTAGTATCCATCTCCAAATGACTAACCATCCTTAGCAGAGGCCGACGATACGACTGTAGTTAAACATGGATTTGATTTGACCGTGTGCATTCACTCTTTTAAATCACATTTCTGCCTTATAGGATCAAGGTCAGCACATTCGGCTCGACCATAGGCCCTGTTCCGGTGAGTAGCCTTGCTTATAAAATACATGTACTGTATATGAATACTTGGTGAGGTGACTTATGTAGAAAATTCTGATTTCAAAAGTACAAATGTACTTAGTAAAGTAATGTCTGTCCAAACTGCAACGTGTGCTTTTGCTCAGCGATTCAATGAATCCGTGCTTTACTCTATTCTTGATGTCGTGGAGGAAAAACTTGCTAACCCAGGTAACCGTACACTTCTTATTCTCTAGACATTCGGGCTGGACTTCGGGATCCGTGCACTGTGCGAGAAGACTGTACCATGGATCAACAGTAAGAATTACTTTTCTTCATTTTGGAGAATATAGAAATATAAGGCAAAATCAGACAAAGCCATGGAAGCTCTACCATCCTTTACCTTTACTTACAACGATATCATTTATGTCTACTTTTGGACACCATGGTTTCTGTCATTTTCTGGTGCTTCTGGTGGTTTTATTCATTGCTGTCATAATTTTTACTGGTTCTGTTATTTTCTTTTACATTGTTACAATACAGTCTACTATGTGCCAAAATTTCTCTCATTTTATCTTTGTCTTTACATCTATGTTTTACTTTTGATTTTGAGGAATTTCTGCCTCTCTTGACTTTACCCTATTCTCCACACCTCTTGCTCACCTTCTCCCATCAGCCTTTGCGCTGGACAACAGGTTTGAGGGTATGCTTACGGTGTGGACGTCACGTGATTTCTGCAGACAAGGGGCGGTGCCCGCTATACGTACGTTATTCTGGTGGCTCCAACTAACTATTTTCGAGCTCCTAAACCTAAAGCTAGCCTGCATGTTTCAACCACTCTTACTCACTACTATCACTACTATGCATGCATTTTTTTACAGGTTTTGCAAAGGCCTATTTCATGTTGCTTTTGACGTCATGTGTCGGCCATCTTAGAACCGTCAGCCATATGACCAATCCATGAATCGTAGTTTGGCTTAGTAGTTTGTCAGAGTTGCCCCTCCACTTTTTGTATCTTAAGAAACCTGACAATTGCAATTTTGCAATGGTGGTAAATAGATGAGGTTTGAAAGAAGTGAACATGTTGTTGTTCATGGATTCACCATAGATTCCATTGGATTGCTGGTCCCACCCTTGTATTGACTTCAAAGCTCTATCTGTGCTCAAGGTGCTTCCTTGCTGTACTGTGACTGTAACGCTCTTTCCTTGTCCCACAGACTACCTGGCTCAGGGAATCCCGTTCCGTCTGAAAGACGTGCTGTTTGAGAACGCTCAAGTCGTCATGCACCAGGTGAGTCCTGAGCAAAATTACTTAAAAAGTTTCTTACTTTAATGAGAAATAAACTGAAATTTGACTCGCCGCGACGGGGGGCGGTACCGCCTTCCAACGAACTTTGACCCAGCGTTGACGTCACACCAACGGAGCGTTTCTCCAACTTTTGAGCTGGAGAACAGTTTATTTCTCATTATCTAATTTAACAACTGATTGGGAAAATTTTGACTTTTTAAAAGACTATGTACCATTTTCTGACAAAAATTCAACTCAGCTACGTACTCAGTACCAAATTTGCATTTTTACTGCAGAGTTAAGTTTCTAAATCTTTTCGCTTTATTTCCTTTTCAGGGTTTCATCTCCATCGGCACAGATGTCAAGTACACAGGGCTGTTCTAGTCAACACAACGCTGCCTAGCAGCTATAGTAATAACTGCACGTTTGGTGCACGTTATGCTTGGTGTTTTAAATGAGACCTGGAAAGCAGACGCAGTTACCGTGTTGTCCCCTTTATGTGTATGTATAGAGTATAAGACGACTTGTTTTAAAGTTCGATGCCAATGTGCGAAAATTAAAAGCAATGCAATGTATTAAAATCAAGAAAGTGTTATAAAGTGATGGCTAGCATATGCATATGCATATATGTTTTGATGACGGTGCCTTAAAAGATGTGTGTCTTGTGTCTGTTTGGTAAAGCTAGACCCTCCTTCGACGAATTTGAGTTTGATATAGGGAACAGGAAATAAGAGGGTAAAAAGTCTAGAAAGCTAGAAAGTAATCCAAATTCTCCAATATTTCCAATAATCTTAAAAAGGTGTCACGCAAATCTATAGTTTTCTACAGTTGTATCTTTGATATCTGTTTAAAACATCGGAGAAAGGTCGAAATACAACTTAACTGAGAACCTAAATGTTGTCGTGCTTGATTTTGTTTTACTCGTGTTGTGTTAGTGTACGTACGTAACTATACGCAAACACACAAACACACACACACACACACACACACACACACACACTGAAGAATTGGTAGTAAGTAGTCGCCACTGGGAAGTCACTGTGAGTCTTTAAAAAGCGGCTGCAAATTGAGAGGATACGTCGCAATTGCCACGTCAACTGTGGTAAACATAGTTGAAGTATTTTGCTAAGCAGGCTTTCTCGTTGTTTGTTAACACGACAAGGTAAACACCTTCGCCCTTTGTCCCTCTCCGACCCCCAAACCGGTACAAAGTAACAAAACTGCCACAGGATCAGTAGAGACACGGGTAGGTGTGTTAGAGACAACGTGCTGAGGATAATTCACAGGTACGACTAGTCTTTTCATTAACACATATCTATGGGATTTTATAATCTTTTTATCAAAGTTATCTCGCTGTATCTTTTATATAGCCAAGCTTATTAAATACCGGGGTATTATTTGAAATCTTCACATTTACCTTACTCATTATGGTTAAGAACTGTGATTCTGATATATAAGAACGTTACTTTACATCAAGGACGTCCTTGTTTACATGCAAGACATGAGCCCTAAGCTGCCGACTTCTCAAAATTGTCATCTGTGTTGTGTGTTACTACAGTATGTGTTTAATAAGTGAGGTTTAAAGCATGGGCCAGTAATGAGAAAGGAGCGTTGACATGCGCAGTATGCATGTAGTTACGGCGCTCGCACCTGCACTTTGAACTTTGAGCAGTCCTTTGGGTTAATAGAATAAAATTGTGGGTGTGGCCATGGGTGTGTATATCATTAAAAAATCCCCCTGAAACGTCATTCTTTGTGAAGAGCACATTACCGTCATATTTTTGAATTGTGGAATTTTGGCAAATGAGGCTAGCAGCATATTAGATTGCACGCGATGGCTGCCAGGTAGTGTGTTATTCACTTGATGTATTCATGTAATGTATGCACTATCAACTGTTGTTTTAAGAAATCTGATTGACTGATTCCATGATCAATGTAACATCAGTCAATCAAAGCAATTAAAACACAGTGCAATGTGTCATCTTCATAATCTCGTCCCCAGCTCCCACAATGTCCTGGGACAGAGCTTTGCAGCTCGGACTCCTATTGGTCAGCTGTGCCGCCGTTTTGGCGGGAAAGTCGCCAGGCGTGAGGACCGTCTTTACCCAATCAAGCCTTGACTATGGTAAGTCACCTTGAACTTTGAGCTTGTTGTCCAGAAATATTGTAAAATACAACGGTAGACTTGGTTTTGTAAGTGATTGATAATCAACTTAAGTCACATCTGTTCTTTAAAAATGACCTGAACCAGACCGTCTATTACCATGGTAACTAGTGTTGGGTTACATCGTGTTGCAATTTCATAGCAAGAGGGATTTAGACTCCTGTCTGACCATATATATATA